ATTTTTAGTATTTGCCAAAATGAGCAATTTTAACATTAAGAAATAGTTAAGCAAAATGTTAAATGCTGCGCCTAATTCACTTAAAATATTTACATCTTTATTAACAAAGCGTCTTCGACAGACCATGGAAATTGCTATTATGAAAGTACTATGCATGGATTTTTTTTTTTTTTTTTTTTTTTTTTTACAGGCAGAGTGGACAGTGAGAGAGAGAGACAGAGAGAAAGGTCTTCCTTTGCCGTTGGTTCACCCTCCAATGGCCGCCGCGGCCGGCGCGCTGCGGCCGGCGCACCGCGCTGATCCGATGGCAGGAGCCAGGAGCCAGGTGCTTTTCCTGGTCTCCCATGGGGTGCAGGGCCCAAGCACCTGGGCCATCCTCCACTGCACTCCCTGGCCACAGCAGAGAGCTGGCCTGGAAGAGGGGCAACCGGGACAGAATCCGGCGCCCCGACCGGGACTAGAACCCGGTGTGCCAGCGCCGCTAGGCGGAGGATTAGCCTAGTGAGCCGCGGCGCCGGCCTTATGCATGGATTTTCAATTTTTTGCACCAAAATAAACTTTATCTTTTAATTCTGTTTTTCCACAAACTTTCTGAAGTACCTTCATATTCCTCCATATGTTTTCATTTCTAAAATACCTATTATTCAACAGGATAAACAAAATCTATGACAAAAATCAAGAGGATATAAGAATATCTACATGAGATCAAATGCATGAAGCAAGAAGAACTGCCCCTGAGCTGAGCATTCCAGCAGCTGACACAAAAACATGTTCCAGTGTTACGAGTTACAGCCCAAGCGGCACTCAGGACTGAGTTCTTAACCATAAACAGAAGTGAACCTTTGAAGATATTATAATGACAATAAAATACGGTATCCTATTTAGTGACACTGGATTCCAGGTGTCTGGGAGAGTTCTTTGGAGGAAAATTAAAATGTCATGTTTCAGTGCAACACACACAGGTACACACACATGCGCGTGCACACACATGCATGCGTGCACACACACACGCGCACGCACACACACACACAAGGTGCAGGGGACTCTACCAGGAAGAAAGGGTAATGATACGCAAAGAGAAAGCAAAATTGTTTTGTGGATTAAACACTTTTTATACAAAAAGAAGAAATTCTCAGAGCAAAATAAAGAGTTGCTGTTTCTACTACTATCCAAGGTTTGAGAAATCTTCCACACTACTTTGTTACAATACGTAATTTAATTTATCTCACCTGGTTTAAAAGTAATCAAACAGGAACGATTAGTACAAGTGCCTTCTGGGAAAACTAGTATCTTGAGAGAAAAGAAATAGATTTAATATTTCAGGCTAGTTAATAGATTATCTCTTTACTTGCTTTCTTACAATTTCATAAGCAGCTGTGAACACTTAAAAAGCAGAAATGAAATACAAGGCTAACACTTGAGTCTCACACAAACTATAAACAGATTATTCTATCTTTCCCTAAAAAGAAGCATGGTCTGACTACCAATAAGATAATCAGAGAAATGGACTTCACTTTGAATAAAGAATATACTTAGTGATGAGACAAACAATCTGAATAACCAAAAGTCATGGTCAAGGTTACATCAGGCTCTGCCGAATGCTGCTGCCACACATCCTGAACCAGATCCTGTCCCACTTCTTCACTCCCACTTTCCTATTAAATGATTCTCACTCCCATAACATACAGTTCAGGGATGCCTTGAGGACAAAGACAGAAACACAATGTGCTTAATGCTCCTTGGAATTAGCTGACATATGGAATACAACTTAATGTCTTTTTTTTTTTTTTTTTGAGGAAATGTTTTTAGCTCTTAATAGACGTCTTTACATCTTCCGTGTAAAAGATATACAGTACAGATAGTTTCTCCATTAAATAAATAACAGCTTGATTTTCTGAAACCTTTAAATCAGCCATGAGCCAACTGCTAAGTATATAAAATAAAAAAGAAAATCCCTGTACTCAGAGCAGTTAGTGACACATGTTTTATAATAATTTTCTGTGGAAATTCTACAGCTACGCTTCTAACAACAAATGAATACAGAGAATCATAAATTCTCAGGGCTGGGAGAGGCATTAAGAGTCCCGGAACATTCTCCAGTGCTTGAATTCTTTCTACAATATCCCCCCCAAGTGGTTGCTCAGCCAATACCTAAACATTCTAGAAAAGGATTCTAAATCAGACCATTCTATCTCCACACACAGAAGTTCTTCTTCGACATGAGCGAAATGAGCTAAAGTCTTTCCCTGTACATCCTGCGTACCAATCCTAGATGTATTCCTCGGATCCAAAGAGAGAAAGCAAATCCTCACTGTAAATGCTGGCTCTTCCCAATCGTTTTTCCTGGTTCTCATACTCTCCCTGGTACTTCATATCTACATGGCACCTGAGGCAGAAGCTCCCTACCAGACGGCGAGGCTGTGAGGGATCACTTGTTTTCAACTGGGTCAAGATGGAGGAATACTGACCAGGATCACCCCAGGCTGACTATGCAGGAAGTATCGCCTCTCGCTCACCCTCAGATGTATTCCCGGAAGGGAACAGCGAGGCAGTCAAGTCTGCAGGGGCTCTACAGGGGATTCTGAAACGCCCACTGACCAAGAAAGCACTACCTACATACCTGAGTACTTCAGGCAAGATTAAAGTTATTGCTCACTTTTTCAGTAGGCAGTAGGTCTACTATATTGGTTTTTTTTTTGTTTTTTTGTTTTTTTTTTTTTTTTACAGGCAGAGTGGAGTGAGAGAGAGAGAGACAGAGAGAAAGGTCTTCCTTTTGCCATTGGTTCACCCTCCAATTGGAGGCCGCCGCAGCTGGCGTGCTGCAGCTGGCGCATTGCGTTGATCCAAAGCCAGGAGCCAGGTGCTTCTCCTGGTCTCCCATGAGGGTGCAGGGCCCAAGCACTTGGCCATCCTCCACTGCACTCCCTGGCCACAGCAGAGAGCTGGCCTGGAAGAGGGGCAACCAGGACAGAATCTGGCGCCCCGACCGGGACTAGAACCCGGTGTGCCGGGGCCGCAGGCGGAGGATTAGCCTAGTGAGCCATGGCGCCGGCCAACTATATTGTTGAGTATAATTGAGCTTTAGTATCTCATGCACTAAATTATATGATTATTCATAATTTAATGGTAATTAAAGTCACAGGCAGAGGATCATATTTTATGACACAAGGTAAAGAAATCATTTAAAGAGGTCAGAGAATAAAAAAGAACGATACACTCAAGTCCACAGAGTATCTCACAAGAAAGAGGACTACATAATACTCACTGCTCCATTTATGATGGTTACATCTGTCACACTAAAACTACCTAGGATAGGGCGATCCAAATGAGTGGGTCTAGAGATGTACAGTAAACCCTCAATCTATTTAAAAGGCCGTCTCCTGCCCCATTACCTGGGGCCACTGCCCTTCTGATGTTGCTCGTTTTCTTATTTCGTTGATTGTGTTTTTTCTGGAATCCGGATCCACACGAGATACCAACACTGGCTGCACAGCCCGTAACAGTCCTTTAAAACAAACATAAAGTCACAACCAAGTCTTTTCAGCTAACACCACCACAGCAATAACACTGGATAAATCATAAAACAAATTTTATGGGAAATTATAGTGACAGCAAATCAAAGGAAAACATTTTAAATAAAATCAAATTTTATTTAAATAAATAGTTTAATATTTAAATAATAAATAAATAAATAATAAAATTTTAAACAAGTTTACAAGAACTTAGCTTCTAATTTTGGGAGAAGAGGTGGATATTTATGCTTAAAATATTTCATTGATTTAATAGAAGAAAGCAGCAAGAATAGAAGAGAAGCAAACGCAAGCTCCTCCCTCAACATTACACCTCTGTGCCACACTGCAAGATCACCTTGTTTTATTATAGAAATACCACAGAAACAGATTACCCAACTTCACTGTAAACATGAGTAGAGGGAAGTTCTTGCTCATTTCATTAAAATTTTCAACACAGCCGGCGCCGTGGCTCAATAGGCTAATCCTCCACCTTGCGGCGCCGGCACACCGGGTTCTAGTCCCGGTTGGGGCGCCGGATTCTGTCCCGGTTGCCCCTCTTCCAGGCCAGCTCTCTGCTATGGCCAGGGAGTGCAGTGGAGGATGGCCCAGGTGCTTGGGCCCTGCACCCCATGGGAGACCAGGAAAAGCACCTGGCTCCTGGCTCCTGCCAGGATCAGCGCGGTGCGCCGGCTGCAGCGGCGGCCATTGGAGGGTGAACCAACGGCAAAGGAAGACCTTTCTCTCTCTGTCTCTCTCTCTCACTGTCCACTCTGCCTGTAAAAAAAAAAAAAAAAAAAAAAAAAAAAAAAATTTTCAACACATCAGTCTTCTAAGAGGATAGCTTCCTAGCACATGCAAAAGAAACCTCAATGTAGCAAAAATCTGTTGCAATACAAAGCATGCCAGCTTCATCAAAAAACAAACAAAAATTCAGTGCCTTGGGGTGGACGCTGTGGTCAGGCAGGTTAAGCCTCCGCTGGGGACACCCACATGCCATGTCAGAGTGCTGGTGTGAGGACGAGCTGCTCCTGGTTCCCATGCAGCTCCCTGTGCATGCGTCATGGGAGGCAGCAGATGATGGCTCACGTGCTTGGGCCCCTGCCACCCATGTGGGAGACCCAATAGAGTTCCAGGCTCCTGGCTTCAGCCTGGCCCAATCCTGGCTGCTGTGGGCATACGGGGAGTGAGCCAGTGGATGGAAGAATTCTCTCTCTACATTTCAACTACATAAAAATAAAGGTAACCATTAAGAAAAGGTGCAGTGCTTAGCTGCATGACAGAGGCACACGAACTACTGTCACTTCTCCACGGCAGCAAGGCAGCAACACGCAACCTCCACAGCCACTCCCTCGTCACTCGGTGCCTGCAGTACCCTCGGACGACTGGGACCAGTTACTCGGAGACGGATTCCTCAGGGTGAGGAATCAGCATCTGGTGGGAAAAACACGTCGCTTGCTTCCTTACTTTTTATGGCAGGAAGCACTTACTGTGTGTACACGCAGGTCCCTTACAGACATGGTGGGGGTGGGGGGGCAGTAATGAAGGAAGCAGAGCGAAGAGAAAAGACTTGATATATTTATCACCTAACACCCTAAAGAAAAATGCATGAAACAGCATGCAACCTGTGTTGCCACAGATCCCTTGGTTAAGCTCTCTCACTCTCTGTCTCTCTCTCTCAAAAATCAAGCATGTTTAGTTTTTGAAAGCCAACCTTTCTGGAAATATACGAGAACAGAAAGACAAGATGGGGGATGGTGATAAAGACGAGTTTTTAAAGGAGTTATAGAGCTACAGGTGGGCAAGTCTCTAGTCTTGCTCATCAGTTCATTCTTTCAAGATCAATAGTACCTCATTAAAATAAGGAAATACAAGTGAAATGATTTATGATTGTTTTCACTTAAAGCATGTGCATGAAAATGTGTTGCCAATGTTGCAAGTACTTACTGCCAACCAGAGGGGTCTGTGCATTCTCATTTCGAGACACCAAAGACGGTAACCCAGCTACAACACAAGCGATGCCGTCGAAGAATGTTGAATGAGGGGCCACGACAAAAATGGGCGCTTCCAAAGGACTCGCAATCCTTCCTTTCACAGAAACTACAAATCCCATCGAGAAGAACATGGCATGACCCAGAAACTTCAAAGCTCGCTGAGCAATTTTCCTTGAAAATAAATATTAAAAAGACATAATTAGCTGTGCTCATTGAAGCCAGCAGCAGAACTTGAGTCTAAAATACAGTAAGACCAACACATGCCAGAGCATCTCATTGTAAAATACGAGCTCAGAAGAGTAGCATGGCCGGCGCCATGGCCCAACAGGCTAATCCTCCACCTGCGGCTCTGGCACACGGGATTCTAGTCCCGGTCGGGGCACTGGATTCTGTCCCAGTCGCTCCTCTTCCAGTACAGCTCTCTGCTGTGGCCCGGGAGTGCAGTGGAGGATGGCCAAGTGCTTGGGCCCTGCACCCCATGGGAGACCAGAAGCACCTGGCTCCTGGCTTCGGATCAGCGTGGTGCGCCAGCCACAGCAGCCACTGGGGGGTGAACCAATGGAAAAGGAAGACCTTTCTCTCTGTCTCTCTCTCTCACTGTCCACTCTGCCTGTCAAAATAAAATAAAAATAAAAAAAAGAAGAGTAGCTGACACTTTCAGGAAGCGTTTTCTACCAGGTGCCAGCACTATTCTAGATGCTTTCCACGTGTTTATCTCTTTAATCTCCAGCCTAATCTGATGAGCTAGGTATGACTTCTTCTTAGTTCCATTTTACAGATGAAGAAACTGAAACATGGAGAAGTAAAATGATTTGCCCAGGGATGTGTGGCTAAAGAGCAGCTCCGTTATTTTGTGACTGTAAAGGGATTGAGAAAAGAATCGTCCACACATACTCCCCCACTGAGACAGCCCACTCAGTACTGGCCTTCAAAGTGGTCATCTCGGGAATCTACACTGGGGTAATAAATAACAAGGCCAGTGTCTCCAAATTCTTTCAGAACCCTCACACGGCAATTAGCCATCATTCAGAATCTTAAGAAGGCAATGTATCGGCTCAGTTGCTTGCAATAGTAATTAACCTAAGTACAGAAACTCTTTAAAAAGAATCTGTCATTAAGGATTACTTAATTCATCTAACTGTGCCAGGAACTGGAGGGGACACACAAGACAAGTAAGATCCAGACCTTGACCCTGAACAGCTCAGCTGCACAGAGAAACAACAACATATTTCCCACAAGGGCAAGCGCAGGATGGCTAGCTCAGCCCACGAACCAGCACGCAGCTCTGCTCGAAAAACCAAAGATGTGTTGACCACTCATGAGGTATCTAAGGAGAGCTTTAGAAAACGACCTTCCTACCTAATTCTCTCAACGTTCCCGCAGTCACAGAGTGAGGAGCTGTTAGGAACAGAGGGCGTTTCTGTGACTTCTATTTCACAGCAAGGAGAAGTGGGACACAGAAAAACAGAGTGCTTTTCCAGAGGGCACAGAGAATTGTATTCCCCGACTTTCCCTTAAACTTAGAGATGCAGTCTCAATTCACAGAAGGACAGGGAGGGCGCCCCTGCACGGAAGTCACACACCTCTCCGTTTTCATCTAGCGTGATGTAACTTCTGACAACTATGTTTCAAAATAGCCCATCTTCAGAGCCACTCAAAGCCTGGTGCCACATAATAACTTCAACACGAGCTGTCTGAGAGGAGATAAAGATACCAATTGAATTGACAAAAGCAAACCTTCCCTTTCTAGCATTTATTAAATCTATTTTATAGATGATTAGACTATTCCTTCCATTACCCTAGGTTTTCACAAGCCACTAACAACGCAAACCAAAGAGGTAATTTAAAAGGAATTTGTGGGTTGTGAAAAACATCTCTTGAAGTGTTGTTTTATGCAACGCAACCTTGAGTTATAAAACAAAGAAGTGCAATGGGCAAGGGTGGAGGCTTCTCTGGGGCATTTCCACCACTGGATTCATTTCCACTTCAAACTAGCCCTGTGTTTGATATTGATATTTGTTCATTAGAACTTGAACCGAACAGCAATCTAAATCTCTCCTAAAGAGTCTCTGGAACAGTGTTTCTCAGAAATTTCAGAGGACGTCTCCACATTTGAGATTTGGATGAAAGGAACACACCCTCACGTATGAAAAAAACATCGCAGACAATTTTCAGAGAGTTCAACAGTGCCCTGAAATCCATCTGTGGATCTGGGACCCAGGAGGTCTGCATTAACAGGCCCCACTTTCAAAACACACAGATGGCAATCATTTGGTTCTGTCCAACAGAAGTGAACTTTTACGGGGAGCTTCATTAATGCACAGTTTCTTCTCTAATACCATCCTTATCACATAATGCTTGAGAAGTAATTCCATTCTGACTCAAAGCTAATGGTTTTTGAAAAGCTAGGTTATTTGAATAATTATATCGTAAGTTCTAATAATCATTAATAAATAAAGGATAACGGAGTCGACCCAGCTAGTGACATCAGTGCAGAAAGCATGTTCTTACTGCAGAGGGACAAGAGCAAATGTGAAAACTGGGAGAGCAAAAGAAAGCGAAGGACCTGACAGTTGCAATGGTTTCCAGGATGTTACCCGGGTTATGTTCAAGAACCAGAGATGTATTACTTCCGGGGCACAGCAGAAGAAACACTTTATCATTAGGAAATGACAACTCACAAGGTTATCACAATGTGCTTCGGTGGTAGTTTCTACATAGGCTAAATTAACACCAGGTTCATCCAAGAATCAAAGTAAATGATTACAACTGAGTGGGTAACAATTAGATAAAACTACTGGTCACTGGCTAAACTATGCCGAATCCTTTTTGTAATCTCGATTTGCCTAATACTTGAACATAACTTTTGATTTACCTAGTATCTGGATATAACTTTCTTACCTCCTCCAACCAGTCATTGGGTGGGTCAGCTTCTCAGGACAGCACACTGTTGCAATCGCAGCAAATGGCCAGGCCAGCAACAGAATTATCCCCACTAGTAAGACACGAAGTGGAAGTAGGATAATTCCAAGAATGCAAATCTGAAAGTAAAGTCAGTAAAAGCAGATGAATGGACACTTTCAATATGTCACCATCGGAAGGTTTTTATACTATTCATGCATTTACTCAAGCATGGACTGAGTACTATCCTGTACCAGACAAAGATTTAAGCACAAAGAAAAATAAGACATTATATCTGACCTTACACAGCACACTATGTGCGTAAGGAGCAGTGAAGAAAATCACACGCCACCTTGATCACTGTGACACTTAGAGTGAACCAAGGATGCTGGGTAAACTGTGCCTGACTCCGCAACCAGGACAGCTTCCTGGGAGAGCTGCAGCCTGAGCAGTCCCGCAGGGTGAGCAGGTGCTGGCAAGGTGAGAGGGGAAACTCCTTTCAGAGAGCTAGCAGCAGAAGGAAGAGGCATTAGAATGTGAAGAGGCTAACGCACTGCTTTATGTAGCAGCCAGCCCTTTCCGATCACAGCAGTAAGGAGAGGGAAGAGAAGAGAGTAACAGTGAAATCAGTAAGAATGAAAAGTACATAGGGCCGGCGCCGTGGCTCACTGGGTTACTCCTCTGCCTGTGGCGCCGGCATCCCATATGGGCGCTGGGTTCTAGTCCCAGTTGCTCCTCTTCCAGTCCAGCTCTCTGCAGTGGCCCGGGAAGACAGTGGAGGATGGCCCCAGTGCTTGGGCCATGCACCCGCATAGGAGAACAGGAGGAAGCACCTGGCACCTGGCTTCGGATTGGTGTAGTTCCGGCCGTAGCGGCCATTTTGGGGGTGAACCAACAGGAGGAAGATCTTTCTCTCTCTATCTTGCTAACTCTATATGTCAAATAAAAAAAGAATGAAAAGTACATAAACAAGAATAGCAATGCTTACTATGTACCAGCCACTCAAAGCACTTATCATGTAGTAACTTATTTACTTCTAACAAACCTACATTGTTTTACCCAGAAGAAATGAGGGGCACAGGGCATAAAATAAACTGCTTAAATCATACTGTAAGTTAGTGGAAGAGCCAGGATTTGAACCCAGCTTGGTTATAAAGACTTGGCTCCTTGGCCGGTGCCACGGCTCACTAGGCTAATCCTCCGCCTTGCGGCACTGGCACACCGGGTTCTAGTCCCGGTCGGGGCGCCGGATTCTGTCCCGGTTGCCCCTCTTCCAGGCCAGCTCTCTACTGTGGCTGTGGAGGATGGCCCAACTCCTTGGGCCCTGCACCCCATGGGAGACCAGGATAAGTACCTGGCTCCTGCCATCGGATCAGCGCGGTGCGCCTGCCGCAGCGCGCTGGCCGCAGCGGCCATTGGAGGAAGACCTTTCTCTCTGTCTCTCTCTCTCACTGTCCACTCTGCCTGTCAAAAAATAAAAAAAAAAGAAAAAAGAAAAAATACAGACTTGGCTCCTAATCCTTGTACCACACTGCCTTTTAGGTGAAGGAAATTCTCCTTCTGCATAACATGTTGTCCTATTTTGGAATCCAACTAACACTGTTTGAACAGTGCCACCCCCTGCTGCCTATACTGGCCCATGCAGATAATTTATCAAAAAAAAAAAAAAAAGCAAAAACACAACGACATTTCAACAAGTTCACGGAAAATAGAATTAAAAGAAAAATTTATTTTGGTGAAATAATTTTTTAATCCACATAGTTTTTTCATAAAACACATTCTCCATGAATTTTTTGAGGCACCCTCATATTCCAGTTGTCTGAAATCTGTTAAATTACTTGTACACACTTGTGTTTGAGATAAAAATTACATACAAAAAAGTATACTAATTTTGAGAGTACAATTTATTCAGCTTTGAGAAATGTAGAGAATGTAACGACCACCCCAGTCGAGATACAGAATACATGCATCACTTTAGAAAGCCACTTTGTGTCTCTTCCCGGCAATACCTATGCTCCTAGGCGACAAGTGCTGGATTTCTGGCACCACAGCCTGGCTTTGTCTGTTCAGGAATGCCACATAAACAGAATCAAACATTATGCATTCTTGTGCATCCAGCTCCTTCCATGTCACATAATTTTTAAAATCCAATCATGTTGTCACATATGTCAGCAATTTATTCTCCTTGATGGCGCAGTAAGAGGATTCTTTAAAACAGTTCATGAAGAATGCAATTAAAAGTTTATTTTGTTGCAAAAAATTTGAAAGCCATACAAATGAGTATCAGCCCACTGTTTTCACCACATAAGAATTTGCTTATTGGTTCTCCTGTTAATGAACATTTTCGTTGTTTTCAGTTGTGGGCTAACAAGAATAAAGTCTCTATAAACATTCTTCCATAAGCCTCTCTCTGGATATATGTTGTAATTTCTCTTAGCCAGATACCTAGGAATGCAATTGCTGGATCACAGATGTTATTTTACAAGAAACTTCTATACAGTTTTCCAAAGTGGCTGTTATCATTGTATTTTATTGTGTTTGGTTTTTTACTTATTTGAGAAGCAGAGAAAGAAGAAGAGATAGAGAAGCAGAAAAAGAGAGAGAAAGGGCTCCCATCCTCTGGTTGACTCCCTAAATACCCACAGCAACTCAGGTTGGGCCGGGGCAGGAACTAAGGTCTCCCATGTTGGTGGCAGAGAGTCAATTACTGTCACCTAGGTTCTGCGTTAGCAGGAAACCAAAATCAGGACTCAAAGCCAGGTACTGACCCAGGTACTCCAGTGCATGATGAGAGTGTCTTAACTGCTAAGCTAAATGCCCGCCCATATGGCATCACTTTTAAGTATCATTGGCAATGTATGAGAAATTGAGTTGCTGTCGATCTTGCCAACAACTGGTATTGGTAGTCTTTTATAAACGTCACCTTTAATGTAATCCTGGATGCATTTGGGTACAGACCTGTTGTTTTGCTATTTCTTTTCCATTTAAATTCCTATAATGCCTCCTTAGCCATACCTTTTTATAAATTTATAAATTATTCATGTATTAATTTTTATTTGATAAGCAGAGAGACAGACAGACAGCGATCTCTTAGCTGCTGGTTCACATCCTAAATGCCCCCAATAAGCAAGAAGTAGGTAAGGCCAAAGCCAGGAGCCAGGAGTCCAGTCCAGGTCTCCCAAGTCGGTTGCAGTAAACTCCACCTCCCATCTCCAGTATCATTTGGTTTTATAACTACATTGCATACATGTAAGCTAAAAATTATGATATTATAATTTTTGTATGAAATGATGACATTTTCTAGTTATTTGACTAAATTAAGATGATGGGAAAAGGGACATTACTTTCTCTTTCCATATTTAATAATTCCAGTGTTCTTCATTCTTTCTTGTATATCCAGTTCTTAATCTGGTGTCATTTTCTTACAACCTGAAAAATTTCCTATACTATTTCTCACATGCAAGTCTGACAATAGATTCCCTCCATTTTTTACTTACCTGAAAACGCTTTCATTGGCCCTTAATTCGTGAAGTATATTTTCACTGGACATAGAATTCTGGGTTGACAGCTGAACTGGGTTGTCTTTTTGATTGCTGAATAGCTCCTTCATATATTTTCAACACTATACCCTTATCAGATGCATAATTTATAATTATATTTATAATTTATAATATATAATTTATTTGAATTTATTTATTACATTTATAATTTATAATTATTTTATCCCATTCTATAGGTTGTCTTTTCAACTTCTTGGTAGTATACTTTGAAGCATAAAGTTTTTAATTATGATGATGTTCAATTAATTCTTTCTTTGGTTGCTTGTGCCTTTGTTGTCTACCTAGGAAACCACTGTCTAATTCAAGGTCATGAAGATTTACACCTTTTATATATATATATATATTTAGTTTCAGCTCTTACATTTAGGATTTTGATCCATGTGGGGTTAATTTGTGTGAAGGGAGGAGTCACTCATTCTCTTGCACATGTCAATCCAGTTGTCCCAGACTATTTGCTGTTTTGGTTGTTCTTTCCTCACTGAACTATCTCGGCTTCCTCGTGGAAAATCAATGGCCATAGATGTAGGGTTTGCTTCTGGAATCTCTGCTCTGTTCCACTGATCTCTGTGTAAATCCTTGTACCAGTGTAACACAGCCAATCACAGCTGCTTTGTAGGAAGTTTTGAAACTGGTAAGTTTGAATCCTCCAATTTTGTTCTTTTTCAAGACACTTTGGCATTTGAAGCCACTTACACTTCATATAAATTTTAGAATCAACTTGTCCCTTTGTGCAAAAACATCAGCTGATATTTTGATAGGTATTCCATTGCATTTGGTGATCAAGCTGGGGAGTATTATTTAAGTCTTTCAATCCACCAATGTGGGCTGTCTTCCCAGTTATTTAGGTCTTTTCTAATTTCTTTTAATGACTTCTTTTGTTCTAAGTGTACAAGTCTTGTAACTCTTTTGTTAAAATATTATTTTTGATGCTGGGGTAAACTGAACTGTTTCTTCCATTTCATTTTCAGCCTGTTGCTTCAGCAAAGAAATATAGTTATTTCTGTAGCCTAATTACCTTTGCTAGAGGCAATAATAATCATATATCCTTTTTTCTTACTGTGATTTAGTTTTTCTTGGAGGTTCCCTACATATTGCCTTCTTAACTTACACTAATTTAGCTTGCATAATATCAAATAAACGTCAATAGTGGACAAAACTGGCCTCTTAACAACTCCCTTCCCCCTCTACAAGTATTTGCTATTATTATCATAAAAATTACATCTTTATACATTGCATGTCTACCAACATAGATTTATATTCATTGCATTATGTTGTTGTTTTTGAAATCAAATAGAAGAAAAAATATTTACAAACAACAAATGAATTTTACACTATCTTCTTTTTCTTTTTAAGATTGATTTATTTATTTGAAAGGCAGAGTTACAGAGAGGCAGAGGCAGACAGAGAGAGGTCTTCCATCTGCTGGTTCACTCCCCAAATGGCCACAACGGCCGGAACTGGGCTGATCTGACACCAGGAGCCAGGAGCTTCTTCCCACGCAGGTGCAGGGGCCCAAGCAGTTGGGCCATCTTCTACTGCTTTCCCAGGCAAATTAGCAGGGAGCTGGATCAGCTGGGACT